ACACCCCCCAACGCATTACTCGCCCACTGATAACTCCCCAAGAAAATCGCTCCCCCAACACTAATCCAGCCCACCCTCGGCCCCATCCCCGCGAAAAACGCCCTCGGCCCACTCTCCCTCATAATCGTCCCCAACATCTGCATCATAGGCTGTTTCTCCCTCGCAAGCATCATCCTCGTCTTGAGCACATCCAACGGCGTCGTCACACCCGCCGCCACAGCCCCAGCCACACTCCCCAGCAAACCCCCCTCCAGACCCGTTACCTCGCTCCGCCCTGTCCGGCTCATCCGCCACTTTTTCAGCGCCTCCCAAAGCGGAAATTGGATTACGGTAAAGGGGACTTCGCGGATTATGGTTATTGACCACCCCCGGTAGAGTTCCATCCAGACGTGTGCGAGACCGTGGGTGTGGCGCTGCCGGAGGATGAAGGTGAGCGCGGAGAGGGAAGAGGGGTGTTGGGATGCTTGGGCGCGTTGTTTTATTACTTCTGTTGGGACGCGGACGGCACATGCTGCTACCTCCCCCGCACTCGCGGCTGCCATATGCACGAGTGCCTCTGTCCCGCTGTCCCTCGCATCCTCTTTATACGGTTTCCCTTCTGCGTTATACCGCACGGTGGTTGTAGCTAGGCTTTGGCTCTGGGCGAAGGTGCGTTTTATCGTGTCGTAGGTTATGAAGAAGAGGGCGGCGCCGGGCGCGGATCCGACGATTGCGCTGCCGACGCCCCGGTAGATGCCGTTGAAGCCGCCGCTGGCTGCGAAGCCGGAGGCGGATTGGAGACGCGTTTTTAAGGTGTCGAGGGGGTAGAGGGATAGGTCTACTGTTGTGCCTGCTAGGCCGCCGGCCTGGGGCGGGTGTTAGTTGTGTGGATTTGTTTGTTTGTGTGTTTGGGTGGGTGGATTGGTGAATGTAGATGATCGAGGGGATGTAGAAATGAACATCTATTGCCAGTATCGTATGAAATCTCGACGGCATCTGGCCCAGTAGCTTCGCCATGGCAATAAAAGCTGTAGATGATGCGCCTTAACCCGATATCGGCAGAGCGAGAGCAATTGGGAGGCAATCTTCTGACAGCTGAAAGATCTGGTTACTTACTATAAGCGACCGCAAGTATGGCGACTCAACCCATGCTTGTGGTGGTTGTGCGCGTGAGGAGTCGAGCATGGTGGGAAAGTAATTCGGCGGGCTATGACGATGATGATTGAGACATTGCGTTGGAAGAACGGAGGGTCTGTGCGCAAGCTAGTGGACTGTCTACTTCTTTCGTCCTGACTAGGCGTTTACCTTGCTCATCTTAATGTTTTCCTAATACACGAGTTACTAACGACACCGTGCCTTATTTTTCGTGTCGAACGTGGTATTCGCGGAAAGAAGATGGCGCGTTGAAAGAATGTCTGCTTCGGCTATGAAAGTGAGATGCCTGGCTAGCACAAGGATTTCGAGATGCGACGCGCAAGAGAAGGAACGAGAGGAGGGAAGGGATGAAGATCGGGGTCGTGCTGAGTCAAATGAGGTGGGCGAGGCGGAGAGGATGATGGCTAGCAGCGATCATGTGCCACAGCACACGGAAGACGAACCGGAAGGCAAGAACAACAAAGACGCTTCGGACGGCCAATCCTCTCGAAGATCATCGCTTTCATCTTCCAAATCGGAATCAGAATCAGAAGATGGCAGCGAGTCTATCAGCTCAGATCACGAGTTGGATGCCAAACCGTACACGAGTTGCATACAAGAAGCCCAGCTTTCACCGGATGGAAGTTGCGTTTTCACGTCGGATTACAGCCGTCAATTCTCTGCATATCCCATCTCGAACGAAATTCTGACACAGAACATCCCTCAGCCTCTCACGCCCTACGCGTCTCTTCGCTCTGCCGATCCTATATGGGCTTTTGCTGTCAACCCGCTCTTCAACTTACAAGATGCCAGCAGTACGACTGTGCTCATCAGCCGGAGAGATGCCTACATCAGTCTGCATAATGCATTATGGCCTACCTCGCGAAAACACAGCGAATATGATCAGACCTCAGGACCGGTGGACATATCCACCCCTCTGGCATCCTACAAACTCATCAACAACCTGACTGAAGCCGTCATTGCACCTCTCAGTCTCGCCTACTCCACCACCGCCACCCATTTCTTCGCCGGCTCAAAAGACGAAATCTCAATATTCGACCTCCTCGAAACCGATAAGCCAATCCACACAATCCGCACCATACCCGCCAAACGCAATAAGCTCAAGGGTGGAGGCCGCGGCTTCAAAGGCCAAATAACCGCTTTGTCCCTCTCACCCCCCTCCCACACATCACACGATGGCATTCTAGCAGCCGGCTCCCGCACCCGCTATATCGGCATCTACGATCCCATCGGCGGCACAGAGGTGACACATTTCTCACTCCCAGGCACGGTCAATGGCATCAAATTCCGCAACGAAAACCTCCAAAGTGTCATGGGCGATGGCGTCACATCCCTCAAGTGGAGCCCCTGCGGCAAATACCTCTACGTCGCGGAACGCAGTTCAGACGTCCTTCTCATCTACGACGTCCGCAACTTCTCGCTCGCGCTGGGATACTGTGCTGGTAGACAAGCGCTCACTCGTCAGAAACTGGGGTTTGATGTGTGGAATGCGGGACAGAGCCCGTATGATGTTGAGGGTGTTTCGCATGAGGTTTGGGCAGGTGGGACGGATGGGAAAGTGAGGGCTTGGAGGGATCCGTATAGGAGGGAGGGGGCTGTACAGGCTGATGAGGTGGTTGAGGTTGGGGATGGGAAGGCGCCTGTTGTAGGGAGTCTTGTTCATGCTTCGGGGAGTTTGGCGGTTGCGGCTTGTGGGAGGGTTGGGTTGGGAGGTGACATGGAAGAGGGGGCGAGGAGGGGCGGAGGTACTAGGCCCGTGGTGAGAGAGTGGGGGAGTTTGGATATCTTGGGGCTGGGCTGAGATGTTGCTCTCGGAGATGCTGAGACGTCGGAGGTTCATGAGGTTCAGGAAGTGTTGGTAATGATATTCGTCTACCTGCCTCCGACGCGAAAATGGCGCATGGGCTGCAAAGGTCCATGAGCAGAGAGACACGATCTTCAGACGTCCGAGGAGCTTCAGCAGCAGGTCTAAAGTACGAAGGCTAACCATGTGTCAAGAATAGCAACTTCTTGATCGTGTTCCAGTATGCCTGGGCATATCACATGTTCACAGACCACGCCACACAACTACATGACGGAAATCTCCTCGCTCCTCGCTTCCTTTATCCAGACGACCGACGCCACCCTATCCAAACCCCGATTCTCGTCATCACTGTTCTACAATCTAGGCTCGTCTTTCAGGCCTCGCAAGATCTTCGCAGTATTGAGGATGTGCTTGTATCTACTCTCTCGCCGCCACACGAGTACTACTGGGTGCCAGTCTGTCGGTCCACACACAAACCCGCTACCCCGTCAAGGTCTAGAAGACCTCGGGGTATAGCCGGAGTAAGGAGTGCAAGCGCGATCCCCATGTGGAAGTCGTCCGCTAATGGCGGTTGCTCGCTGGGTTTTCTTACTATTGTTCGTTGAATGTGCTTGGGTTTAAACGCAGGTACGGCGTAGCTAAGCAACACGCTAGTTATTGCAATGCTTGTGTATTTCCTAAGTACGTTTGTGCACAGTATTGAAAAATACATGTCTTGCATAAGTATTGGTTATTACAATTAAGCAATGAGTTGGACGTTCTTACAGTTACAACCTTGGACGAGCTGTCCTGTACTGTAGGTTAAGATTGCGTTTATTCCCATTTGTTCTCATCATAGCTCCATGGTACCATCATTCAGCTCAGCTGTTCATGCTTCATCCACGATAAACACGGAGTGCTGTTAGGAACGACAGATACCAGACATATATGGGTAAGTTTCTAGATCTACCAACTCTTGAGTAGAATTTGTTGTTGGTCTGTGGCGTGCTGCTGTGGGTAAATACACAAAAGGCCTATGCGAAGACCGTTTTACCCACTGTGCACCTCCCAGTGTTTTCAGGAATCTTTCGCTCTTATTCCCATCTTAATTACAAGAACAATAGTAGGATAAAATGATTCTACGAATTCGCCAGATCCAACAAAAGTAAGGGCGTGCCTGTACGTTGGTGCACATCAGACGAGCCAGACTGCGCCGGAATCACACATGGTAGTATCACCATCTCTCACCGTGCATCCATCGCTGAGATCTTCTCACGAACTATCTCGCTGTCTATATAAACTGCCTATTCTCTGTCGTCACACATAGTATCATCGAACACTCCGATCAATCCATCTTACTCTACACCACTTCTCACTACCAAGCTATCCGCAAAACGACCAGCCATGCATCTCGCTGCCCTCCTCTCCCTCGCTGCTCTCCCATTTCTAGCGAGCGGCCTTCCAACGGCCGAAACAGAGGCCACGCATCTGGTCCCCCGTGCTTCCGACGCCGGCTACATCTACTATGAACCAGGCGGTATACCCGATCATCTAAGTCATAGAGCCCCCCTGATAGCCAACGGTGGTTTTTCGCCAAACTTTCCTGGACAGGCCAGTACCTGCACAGTATTTGCAGGCTATAGATGCCGATTTTTCCGGTAAGTTATTATCGTGCTGTGCACTATACTACGCGGCTGGGTTCTCTATTGTATTGTGGGCAATGTGAGATCAAGGTTCTTGGAGCTGGTTACTGACAGAACGTGTGATAGGGACAATAACTGCAAAGGCCTCATTGGTGGGGTTGAAGGGCTGCCTTCTCCTGGAGGAGGGCTCTATCAAAAAGCTAGGTCCGCCACTTGCTGGCGTGGGTAGAGTGGTTGCAACCACTCGGAGAATCATTGCGATGGGAAGTCTCTCAAACGTACTCTGGAGAGCACAAGTGGATGGAACGGAACATATGGACGGTCATTTTACTGGTATATACGGAGCAGCACCAGAATGAACTACTTGTCGCATTCTACTACATCATCATTCCTTGACCTCACACTCAAACGCGATATCTAGCTAAGCCAACCCCAAACTCCTACCCAAACCAGCAGTGATACTGAAAGGACGTGACACGCCCCTCTGGATAGAACCCCATCTCATACCTCCAGTTCCTTCCCAAGTTCGGAACAATCTTAACCCGTACATCAACAACTCTCCCCCTCTCCCTGCTCTTCTCCACAAAATCCTCAGCCCAATTCTGAGCAGCGTCAATCAAACCAGTCCAAGTCGGACTAAAATTTGGCTTGATATCGCTGTCGTGTCCCTTGAGATCGGCGTAGTAATACTCATTACCATCAACGCACACCAAATCCAACTTCTCGAGACCCGTAGAACCCAATACATTCGCAAGGTCCGCCATATCCCCAAACGTCGCTTCATTAACCAAACGCGACGTCTTCTCGCCCTGCGACTCCTCATCCGTCATCTGCTTCTTCAAAAACATACTCCCCGGGACACCAGTAGTAAGACTTTTCAGCCCGGGACATCTCTTCACAACATCAACAACACTTCCAGCGCGGTACCAAGCAGGACTCAACCGGGGTACATGCGCAGTCTCCCGCACAGTCCCTATCTCGAGATGCTGGATGCAGCTCCATGCGCTGGACGGCATACCGACCATCCACAGTTCCAGGTTGATCACGTCGTTGACGGCGATGGTGGTGTGGCGCAGATACACCTCAGAAGCTTCTTGGTTGATTTGACGGTTTAGGCGTAGGTAGGGTGGGAGGCGGGAGCTGAGAGGCGGTAGAGGGGATGGGTCGCTAGGTTGGGCGTATTGGAGTTTTGGGGGCAGGGAGGTGAGGAGGTGGGTGTAGATCTCGTCGCGGATTTCGCGGGGGAAGAGGGTGAGGAAGGGGTGGGTGCTGGACTTGTGTTGTGTTTCCATTTTGGAGGAAGTCGGGTTGGAGGGATTAGGGCGTAAGCCACTGCTCGTGTTGAACGATACCTAGATATATGTTTTGGGCTAATGGTGAAGAGCTCGAAATGTATGAGCAGGTTGCAGCAGAGTTATATGGTCATAGCCGTGGTGGCTGTGGGACGTTGTCAAGTTGGTTCAAAGTGGCGGCGCAATTTCCATCTACCGGTGAGCAGCATTTGGCTGATATTAGCAGGCATCTGCACAGCGCACCTGCCTCGCTCATTTTCCTCGTAGATGTGTCCTGGGGAAAGGCCCGATGGAAGGTTGGAGGGAAGGTTCTGTCAACAGTCGCAACTGCCTGACCCGTAACTGCGCCACATTGCACCGCCACAAGTCCCAGAACTGCTGCCTACTCAACTCGCAGGATTGATCTAATCCATCTCAAAACTCCATCAAGAAAACACCAAAAACAATGAGCATGGAAAACACCTCCACCAAACCCCCCAAAATGCTCGACCTAGCAACCCGCCGCCGCATCTGCGAAGACACAATAACCCGCTCGTCCTCCATCGCATCCTCCACCCTTAACGGCTCCCTAAACAGCTACTTCATCCCCACCCAACTCCCTCCTCTATCAAAAACACTCCCCACATACCCATCCCACCCCGCACTACCTCCAGTCAAAATCCACAACAGCGACGCCTTCGCCCTCGCGCGCTCCCTCCCCAGCACCTCCAAACCCGGCATCTTGAACCTAGCCTCCGACGCCGAACCCGGCGGCGGCTGGCGCTTCACACTATCTTCCACGCAGGAAGAAGCCCTGTGTTATTCATCCACGTTGTATGCGACGTTGAAACCGGAATGGTATCCGTGGGCTAATACGGGGCCGGGGTGTGTGGCTGGTGTTGTGTCGCCCGATGTCGTCGTGTTTAGGGATACGCTTGATAATGGGCTTGTTGAGTTACCTGCGGATCAAAGGTTTGTGGTTGCTGTTATGACGGTTGCGGGGCCGCGGTTTCCTGCTGTTGTGACGGAGGGGGAGGGGGAGGTGGTGTTTAAGGAGGAGAGTGTTGTTGAGGAGGTACGGGAGAAGGTTAGGTTGGTGTTAAGGATGGCGGCGGGGGAGGGTGTAGGGAGGTTGGTACTTGGGGCGATGGGTTGTGGGGCTTATGGGTGTCCGCCTAGGGCTGTGGCAAAGGAGATGAAGGGCGTGTTGGGGGAGGAAGAGTTTGAGGGGTGGTTTGAGAGTGTGGATTTTGCGGTTTATGCTAAAGGCCCGGCGGGGATGAGGAATTTGGAGGCTTTTAGAGAGGTTTTTGGAGGGGAGTGAGTATGGAGGGTTCGATGGGGATGCAACTGGTCGTTGCATTGTAGATTGTATGTACATGTTGGTAAAGGTAAAATAGATACAGAGAAGATAAATGTGTGGCCTTTCAACTCGCCAAGGCCTCAAGCCTTACACGCACTTCCAACCCACTCTAGATCTTACCAACACCAGCAGTGTTAGCAACATTCGAGCTCGCCGCCGAAGCACCAGCGACAGTCTTTCCCTGGAAGTTAACCAAGAAATCCGTCTGGGTACCACTGAAACTTCCACTGCTTCCAAACGAGTTAAGTTGGCAAGTGTGTCCAAGATAGGTCTGGCACACACCGTTTGCGCCCGTTGAAGGCGCAGAAAACAACTGCCCCTTATTGTTAAGCAGCGGCGTGTTGACATTCTGAAACACGTTTCCCTCGGCAACAACCATACCGCCCGCTTCAATATCAAAGGCATGACCCGTGTTGCTATAGAAATAGTTGTTTACCGCATGGAGCAGCGTGTTGCCCTGTCCACCGACCTTCGGGCTGCGGCCAGAGGTGTGGTGGATGTAGTTGCCCTTCATGGTGATGAGATCGCTGCCGCCGAGGAGGAGGATGCTCCAGTAGTGGCGGCCGTCGCAGGAAGCGGACCAGGAGGTGCTGCCGTCGAATTCTGTGTTGCTGATTGTTACACGGCCCGAGGCGCCGTAGCCGGCTACGAACATTTGGCGGCCGATGAGGGAGATTTTGACGTGGTCTGCAGGGGTTGTTAGAAGTGGGAGGGGTTAGGATGGGAGGGAGTGGACGTACCGATCCAGACGAGGTCCGACTTGTCGAGGGTGATGGCGTCGCCGCCCCAGATGTACTGTGGGTTGAGCTCGGTGATGTGAATGTTTTGGATGATGATGTTCTGTGCTCCGTTGGCGATGCGGAGACCTTTGCCACGGATGACACCCTTGTTGCCAACACCGATGAGGGACTTGTTGGAGCCTAGGTTGATGGCAGTTACACCGGCATTGTCGTACTTGACCTGGACAGACGTAGCGCCTGCTCCAGCGTTTCCGTTGTCACACCAGTTGGCAGAGTTGATGGCGTCTTGACCTCCGTTGCCAGGGCATTTGTTGGATGCGGGACGGCAGCCGGTGGCTGTTGTAGTTCCCTCAGTACCCTTGAAGTTGAACTCTCGGTCGAGTACGATACAGCGGGCAGTGCTGTCGCTGAGCCAGGTCTTCAGCTGGGCTACCGAGGAAGGTACAACACAGGCTGCATTGCCACCTCCCGTAGTACCTCTTCCGAAGCCCTCAGGTGTGCCTTTGACTCCGTATGATTGCCTCTCTCCAAGAACGGCGGCGCTGGCTGTGTACGCGCCTGCGAGCGCAAGAATAGAAAGCTTCATAGTGAAAGAAGAATGAATGATGCTTTCCTGAAGCAAGACCAAGGCTTAATAAGTAGAAAGAGTGGCTTGATACTGTAGATAGTCCTTTACCGGTGGCACATCTGCCCTTTAAAAGCAATTGCCATGCTAGCTAGAAGAGTACCCCTCTGGAAGAATCCTCGGCAACCATGCCGGCATCGAGATACCTCTGATGTTGAGGAGAGTAGTTTCTGCGCCTTAGTGTTGATTTCCTCCATTAGCAGCGCGGAAGGACCAGCGCTTGGTGATGATAGGGGCATGGTAAAGCACCAGCTCATGGCGCTAACGCACGCTCCAAATGACAGCGGCGCGCAGTCAAGAACGCCACAGGGACTGTGAGTAGTTTGACAGCTATCCAGATCCCTGCAATCTCGTTCTCTTCAGGTACTGTTGCCGGTATGCTATCATTGTGCTAGGGACCGTGAACATGTTTGCCCTGCTTCTGGAAGTTGGATCATTTCGGCTGTCGCGCTCGAGCCCTGATGAATCCTGTTCTTGGAAACAGACGTGGGACCATTGTTACCGGACGTTCCTAATCGCGCGACTTAGGTGTTGACGGTGTCTGCCCAGGTGTTCGCACGTGTAGTCGATGAACGTGTAATCCACGTCGGACCGAATGACTACACCACACTGCTGTTAGGTCGTAACCTAGTCGCTCATCTTTTCGCGATCAGCCTCGAGCTAATCGCTGGTCAGTTGATCTGGCTTCATATAGAGATAGCGCTTGAGCGGTGGAAGAATAATGCAGACCTCGGCGTTCTCTTCGGAACGGGTAGGGCGGATGGCAGACCCTGGGCTAGCACGTTTCGTCTCTCCGCACTTTGGTAGACCTGCGCTAGCGTAGCATATGCCGGCGCTACAAGCACACCAAGCACATCTCGGCAATGTTTTGCCCGGTCTTAGACATGTCGGTGTTTGAGTTGCCAGTATCCTGGCCATGCCCTCTGTGCATGTCTGATTCACGGAACAGTAATACCGTCTTTAAGAATGTGATGCTGCAAATGATCCAAGGTTGCCCCGGGAGCAGCAATGTCAGGCGTATTCGCTTGCTTTGCGACTATTATGCACGGAAGCTGGTATCCGCACCTGTCAAGTGTCGGAAGAACATTCACGCGCGTAGCTCGTCGGAGTTTTAGATGACAGGACGCGATGGATGGAGACTGCAAGGTGGATTTAAATGTCCGTAACCCACTTCCACATGGCTACCGATTGTTCGTACGACGAGTTGAGTAATCGAAAGTCTGACTGCGACTGTTCATATATTTAGTCTTTGTAACATCGTAAATGACTTGTATTTCATGTACTCATAGCCACTCATACTCCGGTCTTATGCATCAAGCCCAGCCACGACTGTCATCGTCATGAGACTTGAGGAAACGCCCTTAATCAGCTCGACTGACATATTTATACATACTCTCTGTCCGCACAGCTCTGGATCATGCCCTTGTTGGTCGCGTCGTACTCAACCAAGTCGATCTTGCCGTCCTTCTCGACAGTGTTTGCCTGGACGAAGACCTTCCTGGGTGTCTTCTTCTTAAGCACGGCCGGCCTGACCATGTTCTCGTAGAAGGGCTCAACAGTGGTGATCTCGTCGTACATCCTCTTACCAGCTGCGTAGTCTGCAGTGGCCTTGTAGATGTGCAGCTTCTGGAGGTAGTCATTTACGGCAGGGCGACCTAGATCCAGAATACGATCACGCTCAAGGCGGATGGTCAGGTCGGAGAGATCGTCCTTTTCCCATTCCAGCTGGCAGAACTCGACACCGGCATTGAGGAATGTGCGCAAGATGGAGAAGCGAGCTTGCATGTGGGCTTGACCCCACTTCCTGCTCTTGGGATCCCAGAACTCTAGAGCTGCGATACCAGCGCGGGCCATCTGAAGGTATGCTGTGAAGAGAACGTCGCCGGCCTCACTGTTCATGTCGGCCTTGCCGTCACCAAAACCGAACAGTTGCAAGATGGGGAATTCGCAAGAGAGCGCCATGGCGACGCATTCGGCACGGCACTCCTCGTAGGAAGCAGCGATGGTGCCGAATGTTGATCCCCAAGTCTGGCCTGGCTTGTACCAAGACTTTATCGGCTGGCCGCTTAGTGGTGAGATTGGAGGGTTCTCTTTGTCGAAGTTGAAGACGCCTGGCTCCGTCTCCTGGAGAAGCTTACCACAACCATGGCCTAGCAGCTCGTGGAGACCGACCTGGACCTCGAACGCAGGGTCTCGGTACTTTTGGTACGTGGCCAGGTCTTTGTCTTTTATGAAGGGAACAGCCTCGTTTGGTGCCTTTGCAGAGAGGATGTTGCCAAGCGATACGTTCTTGAAGCCGAAGTTCTGCCGAATGTCATCATAGTTGGGGATGTTGATTCCGGCAGGGATGCTGTTGATGTTAGATGAGGTCACAGAACAACGTGGGAAGTTTTTCTGACTTACCCACTGCCCGCAAATGTCAGCACCTCGAGCGAGGTGAAGTCAGGGCTAAGGAACTTGTCCTTCTCGAACGACTTGTCCCACGGTAGCAGAGGGATGTACTGTGGCGCGGTCTCGACCAACTTGCCAAAGGCTCGCGTCCGTTCCTTGTTGACCATGGCAACGAAGCCTTCCCACTCGCCACGGATGCCGTGTGGGTCGCGGTATGTCTCGATGAATCCGATGTCCGATTCCACCTGAGGTCCCTTGTCTTGGACCCATGCCTTTTGGCTTTCCTTGAAGGCCTGGAGTGACCCTGTCCTGAAGCTCTTGGAGTATTCCTCCATCATCTTGATCTCGTGGTCATTGGCTGCGTATTTCTTCGCCTGCTCAATGTGGTGCGCGATGGTGTCCATCTCCTTGGAGTAGTCACCAAAGACCAGCTTCACCTTGCTGCCATCGTCCATTGTCCACTCGCTTTCTTTCAGATCGCGTTGTTCTGCTGATGGGTTATCCGAGGCTGAAGCAATAAGAACCTCGTATCCATCCTTAGCCTTCTTGATCCTTGTGTTCTCCGGAAGCAGTCCTTTGCCTTCGAGGAAATCGCTCACGCTGGAGATCTGTTCGCTGGTGATGTCGGGGCTGTCGGGGTAGTAGGTTGAGATGTGTCCCGCACCGGGGTAGCCCAGATGCAGCTTTCCCACATCGTCGCCAGCATATATGGCGTCCTTGAACTTTTCGTATATGGCCAATGTGTCTTTGGAGGCGGTCGCGAGTGCCTTCAGCTGGCGCGGATCGAGGCGGGGTACGAACTTGCTGTCTCCGAACGACTTGAAGTTGCCTAGGTTGCCTAGAAACTGCGCTGAGTAATCGAGGTATGCGTCAATCTCTTCTTGTGAGAGACCTGTGTCTTTGGCGAGGGAAGCATAGTCGCCCTTGGCGTGCTTGTGGAGGGCGACGATGAAGTCGTAAATGTGCTCGGATTCGGGGGAGACTTGGCGGAGGACGACGCGTGTTCCGGCGAAGCAGGCTCTGTGGTATGTGTCAGTTACTGTATCATATACTGCTGAGGCATATGTATGTCCTACACTGAGAGATGGTGGGCGTAGAGCTTCTCCTTGTCGCTGAGCGCATCGAAGTGAGGCTTGATGGTCAGAGGCACGACAGTGGGCGGGCTATCGGCCAAGTACTGCTTGAGCGTCTCGGAGTCTATAGTGGCGGTCATGTCGTTGGTGGTAGTTGAGGTTGAGAGTCGTCTGGTGAGCTCCAAGGGCATCGGCGGGGGGCTGATGCGGGCCCAGTAGCATGGGCGTGGGGTAGCTGCACGTGTCTCATCTGCGGTCGTGGCAGGTTCGCGCCTCACTGCCGCGCGCCATAGGCCAATTCGCCCACTCGTGAGCCTCCTTCCAAGAGGCTGCAACAGACGCGGCTTAGCAAGCATCATTGTCAGACGTTTTCGCTCTATCATCGTACTAGAGTATCGATTCCTCTTTTCGCTCGCTTAGCTGGCGCAAATTCCCGCCGAGGTGTTTCCTCCCCGACGCGTCACGGTCGTGCCTTCTCCAATACCCGTCAACGCCATTGTTCATCCCACCAACACTCTTGCCGTCGACAAAATCGCCAACACCATCCATTGGGTCTCGAATCGTTTTCACAATGGACGACATTCCTAACGAATTGCTCATCCACATTGTTGACCAACTAAGAGGCCCAAAGACCTGGTCAGAACCAGCAGACTACAGCCGAATGCACGCCCTTGCGGCTCTTTGCTCCGTCTCAAAGAAGCTGCACCAGATTGCTAGACCATTACTCTACGAATCGATAGACCTACTCCCAAATGACGGTGTTCTGACCCAGTCTCAAAGACTTTTTGCTCGTCTCCAAGAGCAGCCAAGCCTTCCCTTCGAGATCAAAGCCCTTCGACAGAAGATGCGTGCTAGGCCGAGAGAGGACGGCGAGAACCGTATGCGCGTCCGCGATGAGTACACGAATGACACTATAAGAGACTTGAGAGCCTTTGGGCTAGGCACGGAAGACGCCTCAGCACTCGTGGGCCGTTGGCTAGGGTACGAAGACTTATACTTCGCTCTCGTGGCATTTCGGACACCGAACTTAGAGCGTCTATGGGTACGGTTGGACGGTTTCTACCAAGGGATCTATGAAGAGTGTAATAATACCCTTCTCGAGGGCATAGGTCGTATGGCTATGGACGTAAGTCGGCTTCACACTCACCGTTTTGACAATCTCAAGATCTTGCATTTCGAATTCTCCAATTCACCGGACATGCCCGCGCGGTATGCGTTCCCGTTGTTACTCCTTCCCAACTTGGATGAGCTTACTCTTGTCGCGTTGGGCGGCTATGTCAACATTCCTGAGAATGAACATTACGCCGTTCTCGAATACGACGCCGACGACGGCTTGACCATTTTCGACAGCCCTTGGTCGTGGCCAGTACACTCATCGCCTATCACCAAGCTCTCGCTATTCAAACCAGTTATCTCTGAGAACGCGGTCAAAAATATGATAATTGCGTGCAAAGGTCTGGAGCGATTTGAATGCTTTCACCCACTGCGTTCCAGCACGGACGATCAGTGGTTTGGGGGTCTCGTTTCTGCGCTGAACAATCACATCGAGAGTCTTCAAAATTTATCGTTAGTGTGTAGGGAACATCGGCTCTCGTTAGAGAACACTGGCATGGCTCAGCTCGATAGTCTCCACGGATTCACCAACTTGGACTCGGTCAGGGTCTCTTTGTCTCTGGTTTCAGATCCGGGGGAAACTCTGAGTGCTCGAAATCTGCCTGCTTTCTTCCCGCCAAGCATCACATCACTGCACATCCACTATCCCCGTGAGCCAAACGACGAAGCCGGCCAACAACTTCTCGATGTTCTCACCGCGCACAAGGACGGTACATTACCGTCGCTGAAAGATGTACACATCGCCTGGGTATACTACCAACGCGGAAAGGATGAATTTGATCTGCTAGAACGACTTCAGTCGCTGGTACAGATCAAAGAGCAATACGAGACATCATCAATCACGTTTGACATTACGTTGACAATCAGAGACGACAGAGGTAAGTGGCCGTTGGTTAGGCGATCATCAAGCGGTGCTAATGTTTACTAGGGACCAGAAATAAATGGCCCAAGCTGGCCAGTCTAGGACTTGTCATGAACGGGACGTACCTGAGCACTGATCCCTGGGATGAATTTGACCAGCCCTACCATGAATCTAACGAGACAAGTGTCTTTGTTGATTTTACGACTTCTCCTGCTCGCTACACGGTGCAAGAACTACAGGATGATCGAGATCACTTATCTTTCTGGTGAACCCGCAATTTGTATACGAGGGGCCCCGGGGTATACTTAACACTCTTGTCAGCTTCGTTTCCCGGTCCTGAAACATGCTCATCTGGCCCGACGTGAACCGGCTCACGATCACGATATTTTCAACCCGTCGGTCTCCTGGAGTCGAGGTCCAGTGTCGCGCGTATAGACGTCGATTGCGCAAATGTCGCCATCTTCCATATCTGTCAATACACCTTGGCCCTATCCTCAGCTCCTTAATGACTATGCGACTTCAAGACAGCCTCTTCAGCGATTTCAAGTCTGCGGAGATGTGCGGATATGAAACTTCCAGCGCTTCTTACAGCCACTTCGCACAATCCTTTCATACCCCTCCTCTCATCAACAATACGACATCGAGAGACTAGGCCACCAAAGCCTCATCCTGGCTGTTGGCACAAGCATCAGCGTCATCTGCGTGTGATACGCTACTTGACATCGCATTCATTATGCTAGAAAGCTCCGGCACCGGGCATGGCGCCCTATTGCCTCTCTCATCACGAAAACATATTTATAGTTCTTGGTAGCTCCGGGCGCTGCAGCCACGGGCCACACGGTCGGTCGAGGACCCGCTTTCAAGATGCCAGCTATGCAGATTAGATGCACTGAAATCAATCTGGCGTTGATCGCTTGACAAGGACGAAGTTGGTTATGCTTGTTACTCTTGTGGTAACAAAGCACGTGCCGCCTGCACCAAGGTATTTTGAGGAGCAGAAGTCCACCAGATTTGTCGCCGTACTTCTAGTGCCCGGTCTTGCATATGCCGAACAAGTGTCTAACAGCAGTCATTCATCAAAACGGCTTGGAAATTCGGCTCACTGCGTGTGGCGTCATGGTATACCTTCTCAGCATCGCCGGATGCGTCCATGTTACCTAGAGACAGTTGCTCCCTCAGCCTGGTACCTGCCATAGATGGGCTAGCGCTGACTGTGGAACACCAAGAACATAATCTGACTAGTCAGCTATTCCCGGCACATCGGTCTGAGTTCATGTTGCGGCTCACAAGGCTGAGGCCGCAATCGCTAGCAATCCTACTCCGCTTAAGCTAGTCTGCCGCGAATGATGCTAAACGCTAGAGTACCCTGTCAGGCTAGATGCTGGGTGTAGCATAGATACGAAGCACTTTGCTCTATTCAGTTCTACTTCCTGACCTGTATGGGGGCGGTGTCAGCAATTCTTCCTTGGCGCAGAAAGCACCGCACAGCAAGGCTGAAAATCGAGGTATTCCGACCCGCCGCAGCATCCAACGCCAATGGCTTCAGACTCGTCAAAGATGGACGGAATTCCTGTTAAGGAAGCTTCTCGGACTATACAAGCTGTCGGCCAGATCACATCAACCACTTCAAGTACTCTAGAAGGACCGACTTCAAATGGACTCCAGATGCTCATGGCATACACATCGCAGGCGAGAATACGCACTTGGCACCTGTGCATAATGACTCGGCCCCAAAGCCACGGCGTCGAAGTCAACATGAGCTTTGATCATCGTTACAATTCCGGCGATGTCTCTTCATCACACCATCAGCACGCTATGCTATGTGATATTGGGGGGCCAGCATCGTTGATTGGTAAAGATGCATGCACAGTGCCTCTTGATGGCCGCAAGAGGCTCGAGTAAACCTCACATTCGCTTTCCCCTGCTCTGTCACGAATGTGCGGTCGGCAAATCCGACCCCCATGGGACTGAGTCTTAACATACTCATCCTGCAGGTCAGGCTGAACAAACGAACATAAGTAGGGCGTTGTGCTCGCAACGATGGAGCGAAATCCAGCCTGAGACTATCCTCGCTTCCTGAAATCTATCGACATCAGCTGGAGTTTCCCAGTCAAGTCCCCTCCAACGCCTACAGTTCATTTCTCTTGGGATTGATACCCTCCTGCCTTCTTTACTATGTCTTCCTTCACACTACAGAAAGCACTGCTATCCCTCCTGCTCCTAGCAAACGTCGCCATCGCCGTCCGCTTCAGTTTCACCATCCAGGAAGTACACGTCGGGGTCACCCGTGACTTGCAAGAAGACGACCTGCTTCTCGCCATCGCCTCAACGACAGGCAGCAACACCATCAAGAACTCTTGGCTTGTTGGCGAAGTTGAAGCCGATGCTATTGTTGCGGCAAATGACACCGTTAAGTACACGCAGGAGATCGATGTTCCCGATGCTGCTTCGAACCTGTCCGTGGCTATCGGTGGATTGAACACCGATGATGAGGATGAGGAATTGGCTTTCAGTAAGCAGTACATCGACACATGTCCCATCGCTGCTAATACTTCACTAGATTTCGTGGAAGGCATAGCCGCCGTCGCTGCCGCACTCCCCGGACCGCAAGCCCTCCCAGCTAAACTCCTCAGCATCGTGCTCGGTGTCATCGGAAACCCCTTGAACTGCACTGGTCCAGTCATAGTCGGCAATGCCCTGTATACCAAAGACCAGATGGACGAGCTCGAGCAGAACAAGCCCTCATGTGAGACCAAGGAATACGGATACGACACTCCATTCGCTTGCGCACCTACCGGTCAAAATTCGAGCTACAGTGTCACTTACTGCCTTGAGCGGCTTGACGCCAAGTCTGCGGCAGCGGCGAGCTCACCGAGTCTGGCTGCTCTTGTAATGAGCCTTGCGGTTGCTGTTGTCTACAGTGGTTTGTGAAAGCGCAGCCGGGGTGTCGAGTCGAACACCGCAAAGGAAGCTCGCTGAGATAGATTGCGTTTCAACAGGGTGGAGAAAGGCCAGGCAGGCGCCAAGTCACTCGGGATGTCACACCTCTTTCTTTGACTGTTTTGTTCTCCTTCGTAGATATTGGCCTTGTGGTTGACAGATACACCGTCGCTATAGCAGAATACTATGACTCTTTTTTTTGCCGAACTTGTTATCCTTAGGTAAAGCGCCCACTTAAAGATTGTTTTGCTTATTACAGGCCTCTTTGTCGGATATTCCTGCTACCACCTCGCATTGTAGGATGCAACACTTAAGTAGGTTCCAAAGGCGGATTGAAGGCCTGGGACAATTGAGCGAAGTCATGGATAGTAGACCAGAGAGCATCGAGCGACGAAAGACACTAATCAGTAGTCGGGGTGGTATCAGTCTCCCGATCTCAGGGAGTGAGGGCGGAGTCAAGTCTAGCGAGAAAGACTAGGGTATCAATTTACTATCTATTCATCATAAGCACATTACTCCAAGCCCTTAAAACTTAAGTATCAATCTCTGCCCTCAGGTTACCCCGTCCACGAGCGATCGCATCTCCCAGATCCATGTTTGAGGCTTGCCCACGCACACTCGAAATGAAGCGGCGTCCTCCATCCATGTTCTTCTTGTGCTTCTCTTCCTCCTCTGCATCCTTGATTTCTTGTAGTCGAACACGCTCGGCCCGCTGCTCCTCTAGTGATGTCGCCTCTGCTTGCATTGCAGCTAGGCGGTCAGCAGCGCTCTGACGGGCTTCCGTATCATCGACTTGTTTCTCGACGTGTCTCTCAACTTGTTTTCTCGGTGGTGTACGATCCCGTCGTCGGTATGTGTCGCGGTCGCGAAGATCGCCGCGATCCTCCCTCCGGCGTGGTGACCGAGTGCGGTCTCGTCGGCTGCTGTGTTTGCGGTATGGTGATCGTGAGCGGGATCTCGAGCGTCTACGATGGCTGTCACGGTGGCTGTCGCGATCGCGACGATCTTCTCGGTCTTCTCTCCTACGTGGCGACCGCGATCGGTGACGCCGACTGCTGTGTTTGTGCTCGCGTTCCCGACTCCGCTCCCTGTCCCGGTTCTTGTGTTTCTTTTCTCGCTCCTTCTCTTTCTCGCGCTTTTCGGCGTATTTAGCCTCTTTCTGCGCGTCCTTCATGGCCTTCAACTGCATCTCCATTTTCTGCTTCTGAATCATGAGGAGCGGGTCCTGGAGGACTTTCTTCTGTGTGTCGCGAGCAGTGTTCGCATTCGTGTCGGCCGTGGCGGCGTCGATGCCGACAGCAGCGCCCTTCTGAAGGCTTTGTGTATCATTCGACTTCAGCAGGTTGTCGATCCTGCGTTTGCCCAGAAGGTAGCCCTCGCGCTCCTCTGTGACGCCGGCATCGCCACTCGGGCCTGAATACATCCAGTCAACCCTTCGCTGTACGACCTTGCCGCCATTCTCAGCTTGCAGTCTCTGCAGCTGCTCGATTGCCGCTTCTTCTTCACGTTCCTTGCGCAACTTCTCGATCAGTTTGCGCTCCTCGAGCGCAGACTTCTCCTCCTTCCACACTCTTTCCTGGTTCTTGCGCAAGTGGGGATGCCACGACTTCTTCAAATTGAGATCTCCTCCCATGGCTGCGAGAGGTGTGGAGTGTGTGCAGGTAGGTGAAGTTGTTGGTGGGTTTGCGAGAAAGTTGTGACGCGCGAGTAGGTGTGTTCTTCGCTAGGATTGCGAGCAAGGTGTGATGCGCGGGCAGGTGAGTTAGTTGGTGGGTGTGGTCGGTGTGGATGTGAAAAGGTGATGGAGGCTGGCAGATGAGTTGCGCGACAAAGTGCCAAGGCGCTAGGTCAGGCCCCACCCAAAAGTTGACCTCCGCGACTTCTCCGCAAAAGTTTCGAGCGAACGAACGCGCCCGTATACAGTCCGAATATCCACGTCACGACAGGCGTTTCCCGATCGAAAGACGATTACGTACTCCGATAAGAGTCTATCATATTGCTATCCGTAAAACAAGTACTTCCCGCGCAACAATGGCGACGCGCAAACGAAACGAATACCTCGACGTTGAGGAAAGCGAAGATGAGGAGAGAGGCTATGACTCCGAGGAGGAGAGCAGAGCGCGCATGTTACTCACATCAAAGCGGCAAAAAATAGATCACGTCTCCGACTCCGAGGGCGATGCGGAGGAACTGGAAGATGGTGAAGAACAAGACTTCAACGAAGACGATGCCGAAGATGGAGAAGACGAAGATGAGCAGCACGCACCGAAGCGCTTCGCCTCCAAGAGCGCCGAACTAGCACATCTCGAGAAACTCGCTGCGTCCCTTC